TGTTTACAGTGCTCAATAATTAACCAAAAGGTTGGTGATTCAAACCCACTAGCCACTCTGCAGAACAGACTTGGCAGTCTGCTCCCATAAAGATTACAGCCTAGGACACCTATGTTGTTGTTGTAAACTGTCATTCAGATGGTTCTTACTCATAGCGACCTTGCTTTCTGAGGCTATAAATCTTTGTTGGGGCAGAAAACCTCATTCTTTCTCCCATGGAGCACCTGTGGGCTCCTATCTCCAACCTGCGGTTCACAGTCCAGTGCTTATCATACAGAGCCACCAGGCTCCCCGGAAACCATATGGGGCAATTCTCTTCTGACCTATCGTATTATTATTAGCAGGAACTGATTCAACAACTCAGAACCACAACAAATATGTAAAAATGTTAACAAAAGACTTCTGGAAACATGTTTCGTGACTGGTTGATGTATATGGAAGAAATCTACTGACAATTAAGAATTCAGCTCATTTAATAACTTTCTTGCCTTTGGCTCAGGATCAAGATTTATCTCTAAATCAAGGTCACAGGTGTGGCCCCTGGCAGGTGGGTGATGCACAGAGAAAGTGATGACCATTGGTCTGCAGGCAAAGGATTGTGAACAGCTCCAGTACATCATGTGTAGGTTGTTCATACGGAATTAGATGACCCGTGGGATGCTGTTTAAAACTCATCCTGTATTGCACTGAAACCCATATTTGTTGTTAAGTGCTGTTAAGTCAGATTCAACTCATAGTGACCCTATACAGGGTTTTAAAGGAGCAGCTGAGGAGTTTCAACTGCCAACCTTGCAGTTCTGTAGTTCAAACAGACCTCACGGTCCAGTGCTTATCCTACAGCGCCACACTAGGACTCCAAATATATATGACCTTGTAAAAAAATTCAAAGTTTTCATTAACAATGAAAGTACAGACCAAACTTCTGAATCATTTGCAGCCATTTTTTTTTTTTTATTCCAAACATGTATTTTTGTAAACCTGGCATTTCCCAAACAGTGCAAGTGAATTAGAAGTGATGGCACAGACTCTAATACACGTGAAATCATGAGGAGGAACATTCCTCCCACCAGCATTCCTCAAGGGAAATGTACATGGATGCATCAGTAAAAACCAGGAAGTGAAAACAGCGTGGGTGCCCTGCCATGCAATTAATCACTCTCAAAGCTTTTAAACGAACTCTGTCAGTCACACCATGCACATAAGGTTAAAAAAAAAAATCTCAACAAAGTCTGAAATCTAGATCATTGTGCTACAAAGCATTGCACCATATGAGAAACTTGCTCAACCTCCCCGCACGTGCTGAAAATCAGAAGTCAATCTAGAAAGTTCATTTTGGCCCTACTGGCTGTGTGTTCTCCCTCAGCCATTCTTTGTTTCAGACACCATTCTCTTGTGAATAGTACAATTACAGATCAACACAAGACATTGTCTGAAACCCTACATCTTTGGAGCACTTCTGAAAAGACACTCATTTTTCTGCCTTTTATCTGCGAAGGGCAATTTCCCCCAAATAACTATCATTTGTAGCACCTCTAAATTTTGGGAAGAATTTGAACCAAGCAGACACGTCACCTGTTACCCTTTTTACTCTTCATGTAATTCATGTTATTGCTTTCACCTGGCCATAATGCTGCATCCCAAAGCAATAGTAGTAGAATCATTTTTATAAAATCACTGTGCTCACGTTCAATAGGCAGCACACAGTACAAACATCATCATTTGGAGGACTCTACTATTCTTCCACACTGAAAATGGGTCCCAGACATTCCCAGGGTGGCAGTGCTACTTTGTATGTTTTGAACCTCCTTGCCTTTGGTCAAGATCTGTAGGGTACATAGGATTTCCTTTTTTTAAAAAAATTTATAAAGGTCATCAAACTTCAGAATATCCCTTGGGGATGTTGACAGATTTCTTAAAGACAGGGTCGCTATGGGTCCGAAGCGACTCGACGGCACTTAACAACAACAACAACAATGAGGCTTTCAGTCACTTCAGTGGCATGTGATTTGGCAGTGTACCTGTAATCACACAAGAGCAAAGGGATTGAACTCCCTCCTCCCAGTGTGCTTTGCTCCTAAAACTACAAGGCATCTTCATTCTGAAGGGCCCAGGCCTCATTTTATAGATACCCTAAACTCTGTTTCATGCCATGTAAGTTGAGTATAAGGGGATCTTTTGTTTCTTTAAAAAGAGTATGATTTTATTCCATTTTTACAAAGGTCTTTTTCATATTAAGAAGCATCTTGATTCCTTAGACAGCGGGTTGAAACCTTATTGGATACACACCCTAAAAGCTGAAGTACACTGCAGCCATGCTGCCCAAGAGAATATCCTATGGGATTCCACAGTGAACCCACAGAAGCAAGAAGGGGGCACCCTGAAATACACTGTGGAGTTTTACGAGAATATTCTGGAGAGGTAACACAGACACACTAACCCATTGTTGCTCTCTGCCTGCTTCCGGAGAGCCTATTGAGAGCCTTTGAACCGGGATGAAGCTGGGGAACCTGCCCCCCTTGAGAGAGCTCTAACAATATGCTGGACTTTCCTTTATCCCCCATTTCCTAAAGGTAACCATGTTCCTGTAGCTCCACTTACTCCTCAGCATAATCAGATCTCTCACAAACAGGCTCCTGGGTGGCCACCAGCATTTGTTCTCGGTAATGCCAAGCACGGTTTTCTTAAAAACGGCCTTTTAAGAGATTTGTCTTAGACACTGTGAATACTCTGCGGACCGCTGACTCAGAACCAAGCAGAAGCAAATGGACCCCAAGCTTGAGACTGCCCCCAGAAGCCCAGCACCCTTCTTGACACACTGCTTTCCCCTCTGTCTGGCTGAACTGTGGGTCCGCCAATCAGCTTTCTACACTGTCACCAAGGTATCTGCAGTCTTGGCAGGAGGCTTCTTGGTGACTAACATTGACGATAGTCACGGTTGCTCTGATGGGCCTGCTGCCTGAAAACCCTAAATGATTTATTAAAGGAAAACATGACATGATCAGCAAGAGTCCATCAAAGGAAAGTTGCAAAAGGGGGAGTCACTAAGGAAAGCACACACTACATTCGATTTCAGGAGGGTTTACTGATCTAACTCGGAAAGCTCAAGGCCACTGAAAACCCTCAGGAGCACAGTGGGCCACCATGAGCCCGCATCACCCTGACAGTAACTGTATTTTGCCATTCCAGGGCAAAATATATCTGTGGTGTTCTCTGGGGGACTTTTAGCACCACATAGTGGAGGGCCCCCCTCAATATCTGTGAAGCAAGGGACTAGAACCCACCCCAAACTGCTTTTCTTACTGCTTTTGTTCAAACTCTTCAGCAAAATCAGAGAACTGCTTTCTTTGCCTATCTTGGAGTTACCTCGGTGTCTCCATTCCTCAGAAAGAAGCAGCATCCCTGACTTTACTCTAAGACCAGCCTGGTTCATGCCATTGTTCCACATTGTCTATTCCTGTGATCACCAGGCAGGACATACAACCACGAAACAATCATTGTCTTCCTGTATATCAAAGTCAACTGTATCACCACAGGAAACTAAAAGACACACATCCAGGTCTACACCTGCTCAGCAGCCTCGTAATTTCCCCCAAACCTCAGATATGTTTACAACCAAAAGCCAAATACACATATAGAAAACCCATCACCCATGAAGCTGAGTTCTGAGTCAGAAACCTCCATCAGGCTCTGCTCTGCTAAATACCATCCAATATGCATGATCCCTGGTCTTGATTCTGGTTTCATTCCTGTTTGATGCCATCTGCTTGTACCTGGGGCTCCAGTAGGCTCTCACCAGCTGTCAATGCCTCTTTTTGGCTCTTGGCCTGTGCTTTCTCTCTTAGATGGTTATCCAGTAGTGACCACAGCAGCTGTAGCTGCTGATCGTTACTGAATGTTCACCATCGGCCAGAAACAGTGCTGAGCATGCCACATCCATCATTTCATTGCTCTTTAAGACAATCACCCAGCATTTAAAACTGGGCAGTCCACTGCATCTGGTATTAACCACTGTTTAATACAGAGCTTGAATACAGACACCATCCATCTGTACAGGGGTGATGGAGGGATGTCAGTGCTCTGCCCAGACCACTGGGATCACTGTGTATCATTTCTGTGTGCCTCTTCAGGTTGGGGGTGCACCTGCAGCTCTCCTTTAAAGGCCTGCCCTTGGGTTATTGGAGCCATGTTACCAATAAGAACTAAGGGTAGCAAGTTTACGTAGCTCCAAGTGTAGAACTATGAAAGCCCAGCTCTCTTTTCTCAGGTTGGCACAACTCTGAGGCAGAACTTGTACTCCAGAGCAACCTTGTGGAGTTGAGCCCATTCACCCAGCCCAGAAATTCCCTGAGATTCCACCTTTGCCTCACTTCCTCTTCTCCCTGGTCTGCTTCCCCCACTCCCTAACTGGTGTCCCTGGGAATACTGTCTTAATACATCAATGGCATGCAAATCCTTGTCTTAGAGTCTGCTTCTTGGGAACCTCACTCAGAAACTTAATTTTTTTTTTTTTTTAAAGTTTGAATGACCATCTGGGAGGGAATTATTACCAGTTGGGAGAGACTGACAGGGGAAATGGAGACCACCAAGCTCAAAAATTTCTGTCCTGTTATCACGAACATTTAAGCACTAGGCAGCTAACAAGACTGCTAACTGAAAGGTTTGAACCTACCCGCTGGCTCCGAGGGAGGAAAGATGTGCCAATCTGTTCCTGTGAAAATACCAGTCCAGGACACCCTATGGGGCAGTTCTATTCTGTCACACGAGGTTGCTAGGAGTTGAAATCAACTCGATGGCACCTCCTCACCACCCTTCCACCAAATTACCATAAAATGGCAATGCCTCACAGCAATTAATAAAGTCTTTGCTTGGTTGACACTGATTCAGTCCTTGTGGTGTGTAGATGCAGAAGTATGACATCCAGGGGGTGATATGCCATTCTGAGGTTTATCAGATGACCAATGGGCACTGCTCCAAGCTTTTGTCTGTGAAGATGAGTGGACGAAGGGTGAGACGTCTGCTGTATAAAGGTGATGCAATGCACACTTGTTGCTAGGAGTCAAATCTTTCCATTCAAGTTCCCACTGAGAATGTTCTAACCGGCAAGGTTTGTGCAAAAACCACTTACAGTTGCTCTAGTACATTACTTCAATGAACTTGACTTCAGGCAAGAAGACATACAAGGTCTTAGGGGTCTTGCTACATCCAAAGTTTATCAGCAGCACTGGAAGTTTGGTGGATTCATTACATGAAGTTTCTTCACCTTATTTTACCCACTAGTCTTTTTAACCGCAAGTTCCAAAGTAAAATAAGGCTTTGATCCTTAAAAATTTGTATGCATGTGCATGTAGTTCCAAGATTTCGGCCAGGTATCAGTGCTTGAGTGGATGATATAACTATTTAATAGAAATAATAAAACATTGATACAAATATAAAGACGTAATCAGTATAAAAGGCTTATATTTATAAAAATACTTTAGGTAACAGTTTTCCCCTGAGGGTTGACCACACATGTTGCATCCATAAATATTGCTCGGTTCTGTAGTTCGCGTTCCAAAGTTCAGAGTTCTCTGAAAGGAAGTGGCAGTGGCTCCAGTCATGTGACCTGGCCAAAATGGCTGCCTCGGGCTAGCACCCGGGCTGGGCTTGCTATCATGAGGAAGAGAACAGCATCAGTGGGGCCTCCGAAAAATCTGGAGAAGATTCTTTCTTCCAAATATGGAAGATACAAAGATCAAGGACGACAGGCGAATGGTTGGGTCATGTGACTGGCGTGGCAGGTCACTGGTTTTTCTGGACCCAGTCCCAACTGTCCTCGTTCTCTTTCCGGTTCTTCTCAGCTTCGATGATTTCTTTGTATCTCCGGCGAAAGAAGCCCATCTGAAAGCAGAAGGAAGAGAAGAGAAGTCAGGGTATGCTGCAGGGGGCGGGATCAGTCATTTCAATTCCAAGGCAGCCAGTCGGCCTGTACACAGAAAGTGCAAAACCAAACCAGTAACTGCTGGCTTGATTAGACTATTTTCTGCAAACACTGGAAAGAAAAAAACATTGTAGAGGGCCCCTTTTCAAAATGCATGGGATGATTGTAGGTTGCCACGGGGTAAGTTGCTTGCTTCTTGTAAATGCATCTGGTTTAGTGATTCTCAAACTGTGTGCTAAGGAACAATCATTACTGAGAGCTATTCAGAGGTATTTGGGAGTAAATAGGAGTTTGAAATAAGTTTGGGAAATGCTAAAATTCTTTTCCTTTTAGAGATCTGTACCACAAAGTCATTTGAATTGCAAGGTCTGTGGTTCAAGCTCACCAGCTTCTCCTCGGAAACCCTATACAAGGTCGCTATGGGTCAGAAACAACTCGATGGCACTTCACAACAACAACAACAACAACAATGTATAGTAGCATAATAAAGGATTGCATAACTCCAATGCAGGTGTTATCGGAACCTGATATTTTCCAAGCTTATTTGATGCTGTAGGATAAGAATGGGACTGGTAACCCAAAGGTCAGCAGTTCAAACCCACCAGCTGCTTTTGGAAACCCTACTGCTGTTGTTGTCAAGTGCCGTCAAGCCGGTTCCATCCACACTGACCCTGTATAGGGTTTCCAAGGAGCAGTTGGTGACTTTGAACTGCCAACCATGCAGTTCAAACTGACCTTGTGGTCAAGCGCTTATCCTACAATACCATACATACCAGGACTCCTGGAAACCCTATACTGGGTTGCTACCAGTCGGAACTGACTTAAAGCATTTAACAACAACAACAATATGCCTAGTGATTATCTTGAGAGATACAAGCCATCCAGAACAGTTTGATAAGAACTGTTCTCACACAATAGGCTTGCTAAAGCTTCTGCATGTCTTCATCCCCCACCCCACCCCGCACTATTATTACTTTGATTATAACCAACTTTTATGTCGTACCTACTATGCACCACATGGCATTCCAAGGGTTTTTTTTAATGCTAAATTATTTGTTAATTTTATGAAACATGGGAGACAACACTTATTTTTTTTTTTTTCAGTATATGAAAAATGCCAAGTTCACTCCTACATATCAAAAGTACGTTGGGGTGTTAAGTACCACCAAGTCGGTACTGGTACCGACTCATAGAGTCATAGCGACACTGTATAGGGTTTCTGAGGAGTGGCTAGTAAGTTTGCACTGTTGACCTTGCGGTTTAAAACGACCTCGCAGTCCAGAGCATTAGCAAACAACGATCAAAAGTATAGTCATGAGTAAAAGAGAGAAACAGAGTCTGACCTTTCTTAAGAATTTTAAAGACTGTGTAAACCAATACATTAAGTTGAACATGTTCTTTTTAAGATAAATTGGCTGGAAACAATGACAAAATCCTCTCTTTCCTGTACTGAAAACCTAAAATCATGAATGTACGTATATATATTTTCCACTTTGTATTGTGAGGAAACTTGACAGAGCGAATTGGTCTTCCATTCAAGAATTCATGCAGAGTTTGTTTTGTGTCACTGATTATAGTCCTCGAAGTGTAACAACACTCTTCCCACTTCCTCCCTACGTTTACCATTTCCTTCTTTCCTATCCCTTCCTGCTTTCTAAGCTTTACTCCTGGGCAAATACTGTCTGTCCTTTTGATCTTGTGGTTGATCTAAGGAGTACACGCCTCCCTGGTGTTACTGTTTACCTTAAAGGTCTGTCTATTGCTGGGCTGAAAGGTGAGTTGTGGCGGTAAGTTCAGATCCAGTCCCACGGGCTTTTAAAAACTTTTTTTTCCCCACCCACTGGGTGGACGGTAGACACATGTTAAGTCATGTGATGGGGAAGGCACTCTACAACAAGAGGGAGGTTGGTACAGGAAAGATGAAGGCAATGAAAGATACAGAGAGGAGTGTAAGTGAAGAGAGGTGTTCTGGTGTGACATTGTAGGATAAGCACTAGACTGCTAATCACAAGATTGGCAGTTCAAATCCACCAGTCACTCCGTGGAAACCCTATTTAGGGTCACTATGAGTCAGAACCAACTTGATGGCACTTAATAACAACAACTGATAACGGATGGTACATGGAAGGGACTGCAGTCATTGTAATCACAAGAAGTGTATGATTTGTTGAATGTGGGACTGATGATCTGTTCTGTAAACCACTCAATTCACAATACAAAATTTAAAAAGAAAACAAAAAAGTGTTGTAAATGAAGATTTACATAGTTTAGGTCCCCATTCAACACTTTCTATACAACTTGTTGACTGGCACGTTTCCTGCCTTGCTGCCATCTAGATGTCTCTTCTCATGGATCTGAGGGATTCATGCTGTCTGTAAATCATAGTCACCAGCTGGGACTCCCCTAGAATTGTCACTGAACCCTGACCCAGTTTCCTCTACCTCAGGTCTGAAAGAACCTCCCCTCTGATGTGGGGTTTGGCCTTTTGACTTTTCATCTCTGGTAAATGAGGTTCTAGTTTCTCTAAATAGCCATCACAGGCACTCCAGCCAAACATGTAAGCAACTTTTCAAGGCTCCAAGCTTACCTTTCCTTCCCTACTCAGGGTGACCTGTCGTTTGATCTCCAGCACTAGTGCCCTCTGTCTCTGAGTCAGACATCTCTCCTTGTGTTGCCCCTGAGGACGACTGTCTGAAATGGGTGTATAAACACCCCTGCTCCCTTCCTTTTCTCCTTGGACTGATAGCCATGAGGTGCATGTCCTACCCATGTCCCAGTGAAGCTTGCACAATGGGACCCAGTTTGATAACACAGCCTTTATTAGCTTCTTTCTTTTCCTCATCTCACTTCCCTGCTTCTTTCTCATGTTTCCTGGAATTGTTTCCCAAGTAAACTGTTTGCACCAAATGCTTGTTTCAAACCTCTTGAATAAGGAAAGTCAACAGGTGTCAACACTTGGTTCCCTGCTGACAGGCGTACTGAAAATCAGGTCTGTTGTCTCATGACATTATGAACCTACAGTTTCTACAGTAACGATACATTAGCAATTTCTACAGTCATTGTCAACAGTGAATGCACATATAAAACACACCCTCAACGTTTTTTAAAGTAATCTAGCTCCATACGCATGGCTAACTTCTTTCTTGCATGTGGATGGGTCTTCATGCTTTTTCACTATAAGCTAAGCATCCAGAGATGCACCCACAATCACCATAATGATAATGACCTCCCCTGAAAAGAACGGGAGGAGGGGAGTGTTAGAACTTGTCTTGCTGTCAGCACCATCATCTTACTTCCCTTAAAGATGAGAAGTGTCAAGAGAGCTGTCAGCAAATAACTGATCATCTTCACCCACAATGCCAAGAAATCCTGAATGTTCACTTCAAGTGATATGAACAAGGTGGCGCAAAATGAATGGAAAGGGGAGATACCTTCAAAGAGGAGAGCTTAAACTACCAAATTAGAAGAGCCGGGAGTGGCGAGTGCGTCCTTTGGGCCTGGGGCCCTTGCAATGTGAAGCTCCTAGATTCAGGGGAAGATTGATGCCAAGGTGTTTGGAGATCTCCAAGGAATACTGGGCCTACAGACGCTGAAAGGACACAAGACCTTTCCCGCAGTTGACAAAGAGAAAGAACCTGCACTCTGAATTTGGACCTGTACCCTCCTAAACTGTGAGAGAGTAGACTTCTGGCTGCTAAAGTCAAAAAAGAGAGGGAATGAGAATGAGAGAGAGAGAGACAGAGAGAGAGAACAACTGGCAATCAATCTTGTGTTCTGAGCGTTAGTCCTCAAAGCTGGTTTTGCAAATAAACCTCTAGTTTCCTGTGTTTCCAATCCTGAACATTTTTCCCCAGTCTAAGACCACATCCATCAGAACCCCTCATGCACAGATGACCCCTCACACATACACTCTTCTCTCTGCAAACTTCTGTCACCTTCTCCCTGCCAGGGATGTGGAAAGGGGGAAATGTTGTAGAAAATAAGATAAAGGTTGTTGTCGTCCCCCTAAAACACACCCACGTAAGGTCATGAGAGCAGATCAAGTAGCATCTGTCTGAAAAGTCATTATTTAAAGATAAAGATGTGTCTGGCCAGCCAAACATGTCACACAATGTCAAAACTGGAGACTATAAAGTTGTGTCATGTCCACCCTGTGATTCCAATTTCCTGACCTCCAAACCCCCAGTTCTATCAATCAATAAGTACATAGATGGGAAACTAAGGACAAGAAATAGTACAAAACATTAACACTGGATATAATGTTAACAGCTGGGATTATGTTTTATTTCTTTTCACATTTAAAAAATCAGTTATACTATTTTTTTTATAATGAAAAAAAGAAAAACAAAACATCAAAAGGCGATGTTTAAATATTTGGAAAGTTTTACATTCATTTGGCAGATTCAGCTGTGATTTCTCAGGGGACCATTTCTATGAAGATGAAAGTGAATATTGACCAGACAGTGTATATAGCCTCATCTTTCTCCCACGGGGCAGCCAGTAGATCCAAACTGCTCATCTTGTCATTAAACCCTATGAGTCGGAAATGACTCCATGGCACACAACAACAACAATGTGCTTTGTGCAAAGCCCTACATAACAGTATCTCATTTAGTCCTGGTGTGGCAATGTAGGTTAATGCACCAGATTGCAAAGCTGTTTGAACTGCAAGGTTGGCGGTTCAAGCTCACCAGCTGTTCCTCGGAACTGACTAGAGGGCACATAACAACATTTATCCTTACAACCCATCATGCAGAAGGTAGGAAGATCACCTCTACTTTATACATAAGAAAGCAAAGGCTCAGAGACTTGTTGAAATTACACAACAGGTCAGTGGGGCTGGCTCTGTACCAGTCCTTCCACCCAGGTGACATGGGGGCACCCCATGGGGCTTTGACATTTCCTTTCTAGATCTATCTACTCTAGAGCAGAGTGCACAATCACTTGGAACACATACCTT